GACGTGGTATATTGATTGCTCACTTTTTCGGAGTTTTTTTTTTATTATTATTATTGGTCTGTAGGAGCTCTTTTATTATATTTCCCCACATACTTTATGTCCACTTGTGGTACCTTTAATCAGGGAGAAATTTTAAAATTTTTATATAAGACTCATCAGTCTTACCTGAATTTATAAATATATTTTTATAATTCCTCTTTAAGTTCATATTTTTAATCAACAAGAAATTTATATGATATACCATAGACATGATAAAGCCTTTTCCTCAAGTGAATAGCCAATATTCCCAATACAATATTGGATAACTCATCCTTTTCCACTGATTTGAAACATCTCTGCATATACTGAATTTCTATTTATAAATGTATATAACACATTCCTATACATTCCTATATGTTTTTTCATATACTCAAGTATTATTGCTATGTATAACAAATAAAAATATATTCCTATTAATGGGTCCTTTTGCACTTTATTCTGATTTATCAAGTTACTCTTGTGCCATTACCATGTTAATTTACTTCAGTTTTATAGGAGGTCTTTTTGTTTATTTTTTTTGTTAATCCTCACCCGAGGATATTTTTCCATTGATTTTTAGGGAGAGTGGAAGAGAGAGGGAAAGACAGAGAGAAACATTGATATGAGACAAACACAGTGATTGGTTTGCCTCCTACATGAGCCCTGACCAGGGCTTGGGCCAGGGAGGAGCCTGCAACCAAGGTACGTGCCCTTGACTGGAATCGAACCCAGGACCCTTTGGTCCACAAGCCGATGCTCTATCCATTGAGCAAAATTGGGTAGGGCTATAGGAGGTCTTGATATCTGGCAGTTCCCCTATCATGGTTCTTAATTTAAAATTTTATTGGTCATCCTCTCACATTTAATCTTCTAGATGAACTTCAACATCAACTTGGCTTATATTCCCCCCAAATAGTCCCATTGATTGGATTTTGCACTTTTGGGTCTTTTTTTGTGTGTGTTGTCATGTACTCCTTAACCTTACTTGTATGACACTTAAGTAAATTTAAAAAAAACAACACACACACACACACAACTGGGTTCAAGTTTAGGTATGGCACACTTTTTGTGCTACTGTCAGTGACTAGTTACATCTAACATTTGTTGACCCTGTCATCTGTAATCATTTTAAAAGAAGAAGTTAATGGGTGCAGCACTATTCAGTCAAACTAGAAATAATTACAGTAAACATGTACTGACCACAAACTTAAATTATTTTGATTTAAGAGTTTTGTTTGAAGAATATTTTTTAAATTAGTAGTTGAGTGCTTTCACATATATAATATTAGTTATAGCATCTTTGTGAGATAGATGATGTAGGTGGTGGTATCCTCATTTTGCAGTGGGATAAACTTGGTCTCTGGAATCTTTGATGGTTAGGTCAGGGCTCAAGTTCTAGAATTTTCTGGTGACAGAGCCTTAGATTTTTAGCCATACTGGACTAATTAGAGTTGATTACTTTTCCCCTATTCTTTTATTTGTAGAATTTAAATAGCATCCTAGGACTGAAGCTTGGGGGATGCCTTATTAGTGGCTTGGGAAAGGTAAAGGAATTATAGAATGATGAGACAGAGTAGCATAATTTATGGAAAAATCACATGTAAGTTTCTGTGGTTTTACCTAATCTTAATTTGCCCTTCCCCACTTCTAATTATCTTTCCTAATTTAATTTAGAATATTTAATATTACTTCTCTTTTATACTTTTTTACTTACTGGGTGAAAAGAAATCTATAAAAGTTCTTTTTTTTTAAGCCTTTTATTCAAAGCCTCAATTTTATAGTCTTAGTATAAAAATTTAATGATCATTGCCCAGTCTTTTTCAGAATTTTTGCCCCAGTGACACTTAAAAATGCCCTTTCTCATGTTATTTTTGTCTCCTCTTTATTTTTCAGGGTCAGGTTAAATCTCATTTCATTTAAGTCTCCCATAATCACTTAGGTACATACTTTGAATTTTCTTATTGTCTCTGTAACTCCAACTTTTATAAATGTCTCTCAATAGAGTAAATGCTCATTGATAATAGCCACCATTGGATTAATTTCTTTTTTTAAAAAAATCTGGGTATGTCACAAGTTGTATACCCTTGGCATATCTGAAGTAGGAATAAAAACCTACTCTTGTGGTTGTTACGAAGGAAAAGAGCATGCAGAGCACCTGGCAGGAGAGCACATGAGAGTGTCTATAGCAAGTGCCAAGATCTCTAAATATTAGGAGGCAGCTGGTATTAAGTGTAAGAAGCAGGTAGAGGAGGTTATTGTCCAAAGAAGAGATCTAAGATAATTTGCAAAAGTGAAAGAGATCAATTCATGGTTTCAAAATTTAAACCACTAGGGAATAATCATTAAACCCTATTTATTGAATGCTTGTTGTTGGCAGAGCACTGGGTGATGTTCTGTGGACTAGGTGAACATATCTATAAGGCAGTTCCTACCTTCAAAGAGTTAGTAGTCGAATGCCAAGTGTGCTTAAAGACCAAAGGGGTGAGTCTGAAGAGGGTAAATTGTGGATGTGCAAGCAGAGGTTTTCATTTAAGTTCAGCAAAAGTTTGAAATAAAAGGTTTAAGACTGACTCTTTAGTGGGTGGTATTCAGATCTATAATACTAGACGTTTTTCTTCTAAGAAAAGTCTTGCACTTAAATAACCACATATTTGAAATACTACACCTTTGTTTGATGTCCTATAAGAATCACCAGAATGAAAAATAATATACTGCATCCTGAGAAATATTACAGGATCACATTATGATTTTTCTCTATGCTTAGTGACCTTTGATGTCATTTTATGACACACCTACTTTTTTTAAAAGTCAAAATTACACTATTCAATGTACTAAATGTGTAAGTGGATCAAGACATTTTCCTCATGCAAAATGATTGGAAGGTATTAAAATTAATCTTAATGGGGAGTGGGAACGTATAGCCTGGATTGAGACATTTTTGTGCTTTATGATTCTTTCCCCCTATTCTTTTAACTGAGGCCAAAATCCACCGTGCCGTTTTCTTGTCTTAGTCAATTAGGGTGTCCTCCCCCCACCCCTCATACACAAAACATCAGGATAATGCTTTCAGTTTCCTCTTTCCTAACCTTCACTCACCTTTCACTCCTCTCTACATTTGCTATAATCCTAGGAACTGTGTTTTTTATGAAAAGCAAATACCTCTATTATTCTCAGTGTTTTTCTAGTATTTTTCTACTTCCTTGCCTTACTTCATTGATACCCTTTCAAACCTCGGGGTCTGGAAAGGCAGCTTTGTTCTTTTTGCTGCCTTTTCCAACATTGCTATTTCTTAATCCTTTTTATTTTTTTTAAATCTCTGCTCCCTTAAAATTCCTGTCTTTTTGCCTGAATCAACCTTTCATTAGTCCTCACTGCCCTCATCTACTGGCCACTTTTTCTTATACACTGAAGACTTTGGCAGCAGGTTTACCGTTTTTTTCTCCACCCTAAACTCTTCACAACCATAGCTTGCTTGTGCATCACTGTGGAAAAACCAGGTCTGACACCCTGGGCCTTCAGTTCCTTGGCTACCTCACTTCCAGTGACCTTCACCTCTCATCAGCAATTCACTAATGCCCCCTCCTTCAGAATTGCTAGTTCACACATTTTATTCTGGCCACAACTGCCTGGTTGTGCTCATGTCTTACTTTCTCCCAGTGCATCAATACTCTTATATTTTATCTTTTTAAATATAGTTTAGAGTTTATTATTTACTAGAGGCCCGATTCATGAAATTCGTGCAAGGGGCTCGGCACCCGCAGCCTCGGTGACCGCCTCTGCCTCAGCCCCTGCTGCCATAGCTTTATCCAGAAGGTCGTCTGGAAGGATGTCTGGTCTAATTAGCATATTATGCTTTTATTATTATAGATAATTTCAACCCTCCCCCTTTTGCCAATACCTTCAACTACCTTCTTTTTCTGCTCTCTTTTTGCACCTGTTGGGTAGAAACTTAACCCAGAATGAAGCATTTAATAATGTCCTGTCTGTGCCTGTTCCTGAGCTGAACATTGCTAGAGAAAGTCACAAAGGCAGATTGATTTCATCACAAATTCATTATTACAAGTCTTAAGTAGGCTCTCAATATTATCCAACAATTCTCCTAATTTTTTAATATTCAAATCATTCTCCTTTGTGCAACGATTGTTGAAAACTTGATTTGCTTCACCAGACTTTTTACTTTCATTCACCCTCAGTATCAGCAGGCAACTGGCTGCTTGCTATTTCTCGCAGTTTCTGTAGTCTTATGTGGACCCAATCCTGATAGGACTCTTGTTGAAAATTATAAAGTTACATTCTAAGCAATTCCATTCCATGAATTCCGTGTGTGTGTGTGTGTGTGTGTGTGTGTGTGTGTGTGTATTTAAAGGATCAAATATGCATTAAGTCTTAACTTATAATTTATCCTACTCCATGTTCTTAATTCACTTTTTCTACAATGACCTTTCCCCCATATTTATAGATAGCAGATGTCTTACTAAGTTTATTATTGTGTGCAAGTAAAATAAATGCAGTGTTCAGCACAATTCAGCAGACTCTCAGCTTTCTCATCAGTTTATAGGTATCACAGGATTAAAAATAGTTTAGCCATCTGCTAACTGACCAAACAGTTTTAGTATTGTGAAAGGGTGTGGTGGGAGAGGGAGATAGAGGGTCTATGTGTATTGTCAGAACAAGGTGCAGTGCAGAAACCACCTCGTGACCTCTTAATACTGAAACTTTAGAGTCAATTCAAAATTAGGAAGAGATTTGGTGGAGGTTAAGCCCAACAAAGGCCTGATATAGGGGATTTTCCAGAATAGGGTGGCAGAAGAATTTTTTTCAGCTTTTCAATATTTCACTAAAATGTTTTAGAGAAAAGAATATGTGTTTATAAAGACATGAATTCTATGAAATGTAATTTCCATTATATATTTATTTAATATATATGTTTCTAGAAATGAACTTTTAATTAATTAAACTTCTGTATTTTACTCTTTAATTAGGGAAATCAGTAGATTCTCAGTCATCTCGAAGTGAATGTGATATTGTGCCAAAAGTTGCTAAAATGACTGTATCTGGAAAGAAGCAAACCATGGGATTTGAAGTGCCTGGGTAAGATTTATAAACCTACCCCCTCCTTTTTTGAAATTAGTTTGTGTCCAGTTAGACTGTCAGAAAATGTATCATTAACATTGAGCTATCCACAATCTTCAATATGTCATAGTACAGAAGAAGGGGATGAGAAATTAGACTTAATTCTAGACTTACCCATGTATGTAACATAATCTCACTATCAATTTCCTTATTTAAATTAAATTATTTATAGCTACTTTAAAAACATGATTTTGTGAAATCTAACACTGTTAAGATAGGGACTCCTTGTGCCACTAGATGGCGTAGGTAAGTAGCATTTGGGAATTACTTGTACGGGATGGGCAAAAGTAGGTTTACAGTTGCAATACAAATAAATAATGCAGTAATTAATAACATAAGAATAAACTCTATTTAACATACTCATAAATGGTTTTAGAGCTAGCTCTGGGCATTCAGGTAAATGTTTGCAAATTTTAGTCTAAATTTGATTTCACTTAATTTAGCCTGTTGGAATTCTTTATAGGATGGGAGCATTTTTCACATTAGTAAAATTTTTTCTGTGTAGTTCAAGATGAAACTAGTTTAAGCATTATTAAAAAAATGAACACCAAAATTGGCTATTGGAGATTTTGCAAAGCACAATAAAATGGGAGTGGATATGAGGTTTTTAACAAAGTTGTAGATATGACAATCTGTTTCTTTCCTGAAGTATAGGATTAAGTGTGGAGCATATAAAAATATCCCGAGAGGGAAACATGACTTGCAATTTAACCTACTCTTTGTCCTAATTCTATTATCTATAGTCAATGATGGAAATGTAAGGCATATCATAGTCTGGCTGGTTAAGTCACATTCTTTATAGCTATCCACATGATAGCACTGCTATAGTTTCTGTGGAGAATAGTCAAAGAGGCATCTTCATTGTCAAGGAGAGAATATGTTAAGCTAGGTGGTCTTGTTTCTACTTTATGTATCTGAGCCTCTTGCTAGATTCTAAGCTTCTGAGAGTAGTAGATAACTTCCTCATTTCTATTTCATCTTTTCAACATCAGTGCCTAGTATGTGTTGTCGTTTTTAGTAAATCAATCAAGTACTTTTTAAATTAATGAATTGAGACTCCTTTGCCAAAAGTATTAAGAATATGTAGACACTTAGAGATAGCTTCCTTAAAGACAATTTGAGCAAAAGAGATTGTAAGTCCTCTCCCTTGTTAGAACAACAAGTTAGGGATAAAACTCCTTTTTTACTAATAATTTATCTCCAGGAACACATTTTGTGTCAGTCTTTTAAAAATGCCCCCTTTATGCCATCTGTTTTGATAGGATTATATGGCTAAGACTATGGGCTTAATTAGAATTTGAATTTCAGTTATTTTACAGGATGTTTTCTTCTTATAGTTTTGGTAGACTTTTTCTTCTGAGATCTTCCAAGTCTGTATTTGTGTGGTTTGGGTCTAGCTACTTATCATTTCTACCTTAACAGACTCTAACCACTTAGCAGAGGTCATTTTTGGTTTGCAAGTGTAAGAAAGATGAAGAGAGGACTTCTCTTCCCTTCTGACATTATAGGACATCTGTCAAGTTGGTTTTAACACTCTTTTCCTATCTCTGCTTTCTTTAGAGTAACTGCTGAAGAAAATGGTCATGGTTTCCACACACCTCAAAAAGGACACCCTAGTGAAGATACCAGCATGGCTTCTTCTGATGTTCTAGATTCTGTTTCTAAATCAGCTGTTCCATCCCACACCATTCAAGCATCAGAGGAGCAGAGTTCAACACAAACACCAGTGAGAAAGTCTGGCAAGCTGAGGCAGCAGATAGATGTCAAAGCAGAGCTGGAGAAGCGGCAAGGAGGGAAGCAACTCCTCAACTTAGTGGTCATTGGTAATGTCCTTTGCCCCATTGGACTGTCAGTCAACTCTGCCTCAGCCTCACAGCTTTCTAGTTGCAGCATGGGAACTTGTTCCACTCTGCGTCTCTCTATGGGTGTAATGGACATGAAGCAAGGGGGCATTGCATCATAATGCTTTCTAGTCACCCAGGGTGAAATAATGCCAACTTCCAAGGTCATTAGACTTCACTGTGACCTTTTCATTTGTGACCATTTTGAAAATGGCATGTCTTGTTGACAATTTTGATTTCCAAAAATCAGGGAAATTCCCTTTCTCTCTAAAAAGACATGCTCTTTTCCCTCCATTTAGTTGTTTTAAATATCATTTAATAAAAATTGGTATTTATTACTCTAGACACTGCTGTGAACTATTGAGTTCCATGTTCATGCAATTCCTCAATGTGAACAACATCTGGAAAATGTACCTAGTATTAATACTGAATCAATTTTCCTTAGGTCATGTTGATGCTGGGAAAAGTACTCTGATGGGCCATATGCTTTATCTTCTGGGTAATGTAAACAAAAGAACTATGCATAAGTATGAACAAGAGTCTAAAAAGGCTGGCAAAGCTTCGTTTGCATATGCATGGGTCTTGGATGAGACTGGAGAAGAAAGGGAAAGGTAGTCACTATATTTCAAAATTTTCAGTTTGAAATTATATTTTAATTAAGTATGTAAAATGTGTTGAATATGTATGAAACACCATTAAATATTTTAGACTATTTTTAGAAAAAATATTTCAATTATTTGGGAGATATTTTTACTGTAGTTTTCATTACTACATACATAATGAATCTACATGTTTTTTACTCTTGCAACTTCTATGAGAATAATTTAAAAGAATATTAAAACTTTTTTAAAAAAGCAGTAAAAGTACTTAGCTAATTATTCAATGAGTGACATTTCTGTTGTTACTTCTCTAAGTATATGTCAAATTGCCTTGATTTTGAATTAAAATTATGACTAAGACTTTTAATTTTATGTCAGATTATAAAGGAAAGGTAACTTTTTATAGTAAAATGTCTAGTAAATGCAAATGACCAGACTTAATTTACTTTTATACTTTTTGTACTGGGTTTCGTGAGACAAAAGTCAACAAGTGTCTAAACCTATCTCCTAGCATATAGTTTTAATCAAGTCAGTTACTTCTTCTGTATCTGTTACTGTGTTCAGTGCTAATATTGGGGAGATTCCAGCAGGAGAATGCAGCTAGAAATACTCAGTGTTTCTTTTGAAGCCTTTTTGGAATGGTGATATACTGTATATCATGTTAGAATTGTAGGGGTGGGGGAGTCAGGGGCACCTTTGTGAAGAAAGAAAGAGAACCTTAATAATTAAGTGAAATCGCAGATGTGTCAGCTGTCTCAGAATAATTACTCTAAAGACCTGAAGTCCTCTGAAAGTCCTGAATCAGCAATGGTTATTCTCTGTGCCTGTGTCTTCATTCTGAATGTGAATAGAGAATATATTTGGATTTTCATGCTTTTTAAAAATGTGTATTTTTTCTTGGAGTCTTTGATAGTCTACATTATAATATATAAGGTAATTCTCAATAGAGGGGATCTTAATATTCCTTAGCTCTCTTGATAAATAGGAATTTATGTTACAGTGTTTTTTTCTCTTATTAGGTGTCCCCTTTATTCTACATATAGTATCACATACGTGTTTTCCAACCTAGTAAGTTAGTGGGACAGCTGCAAATTTTTAGAAAATTTATATTGGAAAACAGTGAAATTTATGTATGGTATCAGAAGACTAAACAAATTTTTATCTAGTAGTTTACTGTGCAGATTATTAAAGTATATGGGTTGTTTGTTTTTTTTGCTGTGTTACACCTATTAAGTACATAAACAGATTGAGGACACTGTAAATTAGAATGGCTTGTGTGAATTTTCTTAAGTGAGTTGAGCTGGGAAGTGACATAATAATCTCATTCCTAGAGTAGTCAATGCTTGTAGTGGTTTTTAAAATAATACATCTGCTAGTTATCTGTCATATTTCTGCTGCTGCTAGTTCTCTATTATTCAGCATGATGCAATTTTTAGAATATCCTTTTATTCTGTAGCTAGGAGAAGCTTCCAGATACAGAATGGGAGTTTTAACTCGACAGTTTATGTTCCTTAATAACATTTCAAAAATAATATGTGTTGTTTATCCCAGCATGTTAAATATTTGTAAATCCTCCATTCTAATTGTGTGTTGAACAGAAATTAGTAAAATGAGTGACATCTTTAGGCTTACAAATCCAGACCAGAGCTGAGTGAAGAGTATATGGTGGTCAAAGAAGTCTAGGGAGGATCTTGGAATAAATCTCGGTTCATCACTAATCTAAAAGCAATTATTTGGGGATTGTTAAAGAGAATGAAGCATCATTTCAGAGGTTCAGATGGCCCATGGGTTCAGATTAAACTAGAATGGTTTGAGTAAGGAGACCCACAGTTACCTTACTGTTAGGGTGAACATGTATTTTATCATTATAGTTGTTGGGATACTAGGTAGTAAAAGGGGGTGTTCATTCATTACTCTGGATTATCCTGGGCAAAACAGATGAATAATTACCTAGTTCATTGCCCACCTGATTTCTCTTCTAAATTTCTAGAATGACTTAGTAGCTTTGTAGACGCTCCCTGGACTTTCTTATAACCTGAACCTGTATTTGTGTGGCTATCAAGAGGCACTGTATTTGGTCTTTAAGAAGGATGAAATGGGATATGAAACAAACTACTCTTCATCTTTCTCAATTTTTTAAAAAATAGGGCCTCTCCTTTGATATCTCCTGTTTTCTAATGTGTAACATACAGATGAAAGTTTCCTAACTTTGTTTCTATAATTAGTGAAGCATACACATAAGAAGGTGAGGAAAACTACCCCCTGATAGTGGTGATTCTTTATTTTACCTTTTCTTCATTTTACTGTTCCCTTTTTTGGAGATGTCCACACATACCCTCCTTTGTTTCCAATCTACATTGCTTACCAAAAGAAAGAAAAAGAAAAATCTTTGCTGCATCCACAACTTTATTTTAAAGCTCTATGGGTATAATTCTTTTGCAGCAGAAATTCTAGCCCAAATTGATAGCTGAATTTCTCAAAGTAATAGGCTATATAATAAAATCTCCATTATTACTTAAGATTTTAGACTGTCATTTAACCTATATTATGAAATAATTAAATCCATTACACTGATTATTTATATAGTGCATTCTAACCATTTTTGTTTTCTTTAAGGGGAGTAACAATGGATGTTGGTATGACAAAGTTTGAGACCACAACCAAAGTTATAACATTAATGGATGCTCCAGGCCATAAGGATTTCATTCCAAATATGATTACGGGAGCGGCCCAGGTACCAGATATTTCCTTAACAATAGTGCACTACATGTATATAAAATTTCCTGATGCTGAGGTTATAATTCTAGGGTTATAACTTTTAAAATATTTTAAAACTTTAACTTTTAAAAAATTACAAAAAAATAGAGAAATATTTTTCGTTATCTCTTTATCAGTACTTTATAAAACTTGTTCTAATTTATTACAAAGAAACAAATGTGTAAAAGCTATGAATTTCTTTATAGTAAAAATAATGGTAAAAGTGCTTGATGAGATATACATTTCATTTATTAAAGTTGGAGTGACGATTTCAGCATCTGCCTTTTTGTTATATTTATATTCAAGTTCTATATATTTATTCAAAGTGAATTTATGCAGAAATAATGAAGCTTGGGAGTTTTCCCCCTATGGTTTATTTACATTCTTTATAGGGTTAATTTAAAAAACAATTAGTTTGTAACTTACATGTAACACTGCACATATAGGACATTGATTTCTTTTATAACAGATGATTATTGGAAAATATGGAGAGTTCAAAAATTTGCCTGTGCCATCTGACAAAAGTGTGACTTCTGTTTTAATTTTGTTTAATTTTGTTCCTCCTTTTCCTAGATATTTTAATAATTATATAGTCAAATATGAGAATTTTTTAATTTTTTATCATGATTCCCCTGCTGCATGCTGGTACTCTTTTAATTGAAAAATTGTAATCCATCTGTGTAATTCTTTTGTTTTATTTGCTTTGGTGTTTGGTGTCTGGTTAGAATCTGCCTTTCAGATCTGACCAATACACAATTAGCTGAAAAATCTGCCCTTTGAATTAAAATTCTGTTACATTATTTCTAGCTTTGATTGTTTTTTCTTCCTTAGGCAGATGTAGCTGTCTTAGTTGTAGATGCCAGCAGGGGAGAGTTTGAAGCTGGATTTGAGACTGGGGGACAAACGCGAGAACATGGCCTCTTGGTTCGTTCTCTTGGAGTAACACAGCTTGCAGTTGCAGTCAATAAAATGGATCAGGTATGTAAAGGGTTTATGAGGATTTTAGATGCTAATTAAGATGTTATTCTGCCATATTGAGGACCTCAGATGTGACTAGTGTAAAAGTCCATTTGCCATTCTGAAAAAAGAAATTCATGATTCTGATATTAAATAAATGATATATGAGTAATTTTAAGCAAAAACATGTCTTTTTATCTTCAAAATTAAAATATCTTAAATTTGTTTTTAGTTATAAAATAATACACATTTGTTTTAGTATAAATATTTTTTATTATATGCCTTTTCAAAAACTTGACAATATTTTTGTGCATGTTTCCAAGTAATGATAAGTTTTGTATAGATTGTTTTTATACCTTTATTCTAGTTTATTTTAAAGATACAATTTATTCAAACAGTCCCACACTTATGAATATTTCTAGTTTTGTGTGTATTCGTGTGTGTTTAGAAATAGTTTATTCTGTGGAAATTTCTGGCTTAAGGACATAAATTTTTAAGACTCACTGGACATGATTAAAACACCTTTCAGAGAAGTTCTAGTTGCTTCCTTTTGACATATGTCATAGTCACTTTCCCACATTTTATCAACACTGCTGATTTTAAAGGGTTGTTTTCCAACTTGATAAATAAAACATGATATTTCTTTTCCTAACTTACTTTTTAGTATTTACAATAATATGTAAAGATACTTTGTATATTTATTGATCATTTATATTTTTTCTTTTGGAATTATTTATAAATTATTTTTGAATTTTTTTCTTATCAGTTTGTAAGCATTATTTATTAAAGATATTAATCTTTTATCTTGTCAGATATTTTTACCAATTTATTATTTTACTTCTCATTTTATTTGTGGTGTGCTTTTGACATATATTCAAATTTATAAATATTTCCTTTTAAGTATTTTCTTACCCTGGAATCAGATACTATTCACCTACATTTTTTACATAGTTTTTCTGTGATACCATTATCACATATACCTTTTATCTTTTCTCAGTATTTTAGTATGAAAAATTTCAAATGTAAACAAAAGTTGAAAGAATTTTAAAGTAAGCACCTATATTATACCCATTACTATAGATTCTACTACTTGCTTGATCACATTTTTGTCTATCTTTCCCTGTATCTATCTTAATGCATTTCATTTTGATATGAATTTCCAAGTCACAGACATTGCTACCCTTACCTCTAAATACTACAGTATGCATAATGTTATCCAGAGTTCATATTACATATACATTTTTAGTCTGTTTGGCTTTGTTTTATTTCATCAGTTGGTCCAAGCACAGTTTAATAAATTATCCACTTTTCTCCCCAAATTTGAAATCACTTTTGACATATACAAAAATGTCTCTGTGTGTTGCAGTTTGTTTCTAGGCTTTCTGTTGTAGAAGCTACTTTTAGATCATATTAATAGTGAGATCTTATATTCTGAATTTTAATTTTAACCAGTTAACTGCCATGATATTTTGAATTTAGTTAAAAAAGGTCCGCTGCTTGCATCTATAGATGCTTATGGCAGTTAACTGATTAAAAGATTTCATATTTAATAGATTTTTATTTATTTTATAGTCTTGATTATTTACATTTTATTATATAAATTTAAATTTTATATATAGCCTGGTCTGAATCATAGTTTTAAACCTAAATTGGATCTTTATCAGGTTAATTGGCAACAAGAAAGATTTCAAGAGATTACTGGAAAACTTGGGCACTTTCTTAAGCAAGCAGGTTTTAAGGTATGATAATTTTAAATTTATTTATGTAGTTAATTTTCTTAAGTCTCATTTTATCATTATGAGAGAAAAAACTAATATGTTGGTGTTCTTGTCTTGTTAAATGTCATGCATTCTTTTTGTTTTTATTTGCCCCGGTATCATGTATATATTACATTTTAGTTCTTTGGATTACTTCACCTTAAATTGCATATATTTTGTAAATTGGCTTGGATTTAATACAAGTAAAATACTTTTTTCCCACCTATTCTATTAGGTGTATGGTTTAGGGCGTTTACAGAGAAAAGTGGAAAGCAGTAGAGAGGAATTTCTCCAGCAAAAATGTGAAATATGCCTATGTTACTAGGTAAAAATGCTTGCGTGTTTTGGGACATATTGTAAATTTCACACAAAATCAAAAAAGTTGAAAATGTTAGAAGAGATCAGGATTGTAGTACTATGATTTCTATTACTTTTTAAAAAGTACATTGTTGTTGCTTTTGCCAACTTGGTGCAATTATGGTAATGGTGAACCTTTTAACTTTGTAGAAACAATGTTGTATTAAGTTTCATATATTCAATCTTTTTTAATAGGAAAGTGATGTTGCTTTTATCCCTACAAGTGGTCTCAGTGGTGAAAATCTAATCATTAGATCCCAGTCAAGTGAACTTACAAAATGGTATAAAGGACTATGTTTACTAGAACAAATTGGTAAGAATATTGCCTTGCTAATTTTGATGCAATATAAACTTGCTATTAATTATTGTTTAGAGTTCTTTATGGTAGACAGTGGTGTGTGTGCAAAAGCATAGGATTTGTAGTTAGAGGAGCTACGTTACCAGGTTTGAAATCACATGCAATATTTAAACTAATGTTCACTTTTCCTTATTGAATTAATGAGGCTAATACCTACCCTACCCACCTCACAAACTGTTGTTGACATTAAATGATTTAATATGTGTGAAAACATTTTATAAACTACAAAGTATTATATGAATGACAGTCAATTTGCTATTAATTTTTATATTTAATAATTATTTTCTAAGAGAGATGGGGCTTTAATGGGATCTTAGGACATTAGTCAAAAATTACTTTTAAATTAAACCTAGCTTTTTTGCCATTTTTTCCAGATTCCTTCAAACCTCCTCAACGATCTATCGATAAGCCTTTTAGATTATGTGTATCTGATGTTTTCAAAGGTAAGTGCTACCTCTGCATTCCTGTTGCAGTATGACTCCTGCCTTTCTGTTATCTCCTGACCTCTTTTCTTGGACAAAATTATTATATTGTCTTTCAGATTCTCCCTTCTTTATGCCAATGTGAGGATCACTGCCAAATTTAAAGGGCACAGTACTAGTTACTTAACTCCCCTGCCCAGAAAAATCTTCAATTTACTCACTATTTCCCCATCTCATATTTATTTTTCAGGTATGAAAAAACTTTATCCTTTATCTTTCTAGCCTCATAGTTTTTTCTCACAGTAGATCCCCTTAGTTTCTGTATTCTTCTATCAAACTGGACTGTTCACTATTTCTTAACCACATTGGAGGGTCCCTGTTGCCACAGTGCCTACCCATGGTTTGTTCTCTCTCTTTATTCATTTCCTATCTATCTGTAGGTGTTTGGATTCAATCAGGAGACACCTACTACATATAGGTAAAATGGGAAGTTCAATATATTAGTAAAGGATTGTTAATGTGATAAGAGTGATATAAGATATAAGGAAACAATGTGGTACCCTAGGGCCGAGGGAAAGTACCCAAACACAGAAGGGTACAGACATTGCTGGAGGAGGTGGTGTATTGAATACCTAAGAATACATCTCACTTAATGAGTGTAAGACCCTATCCTATATAATAAAAGCCTCATATGCTAAGTGTCCGGTCCGTCCGGTCGGCCATTCAACCAATCAAAGCGTAATATGCTAATGATATGCTAAGGCTGCTCAACTGCTCGCTATGATGTGCACTGACCACCAGGGGGCAGACGCTCAACACAGGAGCTGACCCCTGGTGGTCAGTGCGCTCCCATGCGGGGAGCGCTGCTCAGCTAGAAGCCGGGCTCACGGCTAGCGAGCACAGCAGCGGTAGTGGGAGCCTCTCCTGCCTCTGTGGCAGTGCTAAGGATGTCCAACTATCATTAATCAGACATAAGGATGTCCGACTGTCATCAGTCAGACATCCCTCGAGGGCTCCTGGACTGCGAGAGGGCACAGGCCGGGCTGAGGTTCATGCACCGGGCCTCTAGTATAGAAATATGTAAGATGGAAATGGAATAAACAATCTCAGTAAGCAGAAGGATGTAACATATTTATATATTAGAAAAATCAATACAGTAAAAATGTCACTGTCCTTCATATCTTCATTATTCACAGAGCAGGCAATAAAGTGGATTTGGAACTGAGAAGCAGTAAATTGATGACTGGCGAGTTCACCAAACACATCCTCTGAGGTGTTTCTCTGTGTTCTCTGTATCCTCTGTCATTGCATTTCTCATGCAGTAGTATAAGTGTCTGAGTGCTATTTCACTTAGGTTGTGAACTTCCTGAGGGCAAGGACTGTCTGTTCTCTATCTGCATCTGCAGGACCTGGTTCAGTGCCTGGCACCTAATACATGCTTAATAACTGTTTAATAGTGAATGAATGAAGGTGTCTAACAAAAATCATTTTAACCGTTTGTACGCCACAAGTATCGGCGAAAGTGGCGGACATTTTTTAATTAAATTCAAAATATTGTGGCAGTTAACTGGTTAAAAAGCTGAAATTTATTATTGTTATTAGCTTCTAGCATTCTGGTAGTAGAAGAGTATATATGGTAATGCTTTCCAAATTACTGTTATCTATTTAAAATACAAGAGGTGCTTAAGTTTCTTTTTTGATTAACAATGTTTGCTGACTCTATTTTTTCATCTCCTGTTCTGTCTTCAGGCTACTTCCTGGCTTCTGCCTACACTGCTCCCCTCAGTATGTTCCTACCAAATGATCGCTTGGTTGCCCAAGTCAATAACATGTTTCAGTTTTATTTTCCTTCCATCTTCCTTGAATTTGGTGTTACTTCTGAGACCAGTAGCCACATCTACCTTAAAACTTTTCTCCCTTGGTTTCTGTGACCCACTTTCTCCTGCTCTCCTTTCTATGTCTTTGACCTCTCTATGTCTTCTTTGTGCTCCTCTTCCTCTCTCTCTTAACTAGTGTTCTGTTGTGTCAGTCCTCTTACTCTACATGATCCTTTTGTACAGACATGCATGAGTTCATCTGCCTCCAGTGTGTTGATGCTTCCCAGATCTGTATCTCCAACCTATCTGTTCACATTCTCTAGGTAAATGTACTACCTGCTCCTGGACGTCCCCATAGGGAATGTGCTCCCAGGGCTCCATTCTCATGGAATCTGGTGTGATTGGTGCCTCCTAGAATGCGTCTTTTCCACATGTATGTCTTGTAGACACTTCAGATTCACCAAGGCTAAGATGCATCGTATTGTTTAACTTCCTGTCCCACAGTTAATGCATTATCATCTCAAATAACTCCCTTTTTGCCATTATCCCCCATTTACCTTACCACCCTAAGTCTGTTATACCTTCTTCCCAAATTCTTGAGTTTCTACAGTCAATGTGTGCATTTCAGTCAAACTTCCTTCCTCTCTGACATGAAAATGCCATCATGTCCCTTCTCTGTTCACAGTTCTTAACTGGCTCCTATTGCTTAACTGAGGATGAAATTCAAGCCCTAAGTGTGACTTACAAGGCCCCTTTATCATCTGTCCCTTGCCTACCTCTGTTACCTCATGTCTTGCCTTCCCTCATTATTTCATGTGGTCCCTGTAAATTCCATATAAATGACACTGGGTCTTAGCACATCCCACATGCGGTTATAATTTTGTGCCTTTGCATATGAAGTTTCCTGGGTCAGTGGTGTTTTCCTGCTTCCCCTACCCATACACACAAGCTACCTGGTGATCTCCTGTTCCTTCTTCTAAGTGCCCAGCTAAACTGTAATTGTTCCCCCTCAACATGGATTCTTCTGTGTAGCTTTTTCTGTTTCTAGGTGTTCATTATAAATAACATTTGTCTCTGGACAATGTAATTGTTTTTGTCTTTCTCTTCACTGGTGTAAACTCCTTATGGATAGGTGATTATATTTTCATCTCTTTATCCCCAGAGTGCCTGGTACTTAGTAAACATTCAATATATATTTGAAGAAGAAATGAATTTCCACTTTTTATAATATGAATATTTTTATTTGTAAGAAAATCAAGAGTAGAATGTGATTGCCATATTAGTCGATGTTAAAAATTCTGAGATGAACATTGATGTTCATTGAACTACAGTTGTGTATAACTACTAGGGAACCAAATAGAGCTAATAGCATTAATCATCAGATAACATTGCTATGTGAATCATTATAAGCTTTGGGTATGTTTTGCAGATCAAGGATCTGGATTTTGTGTAACTGGGAAAATTGAGGCTGGTTATATCCAAACTGGTGACCGACTACTAGCAATGCCTCCTAATGAAACCTGTACTGCAAAAGGTATTCCTCTGCAAAGTTCTTCTGCTAAACAACCCTTAAGTTGAGACAGCAGATTTTTAAAAAGTAGTGCAATTATTTACTCCAGAGTAAATAACCTCTTACTGAAATTGTAACTGACTGTCAAAATGATACTAACTGTTGAAGATAAAAATGTGAAAACATTAAACGATTTTTTTCTGTTGTGACTGTGTGTGTATATATGTACCTATAGCATTCTAACTGTGGTAGCATTTTTTTTTTTTTGACGCTGATGTGAGAAGTCTGTTTAGGATTTAACCAGATGTAGAGACACCTGACAGATACATTTAAAATAGTATTCAGTAGTAGAAATTAAATCCAACCTAACTGGGCACTAAACAGTCAGTGGCAAAGCAGACTGCTGCAGTCTGTTGTTTTGAAATGTGTATTTTAGAATCACTATATGGTAACAGCTTTGATCATGTTTATACCAAAAAAAAAAATTATAGGAAGACCTAAGAAAATAAGATGTAAATGTAGAGAATCCTGATGTTAAAAAGAGAAATTAATTGTGAGCTAGTTTAAAGTACACCAATTATTGCTTTGTGTCTAGGTAATCGTGTTTAATCTACATTTAAAGATGAATAAGGGGATGAAAGATAAAATTATTTCCATTTTATTTTTTTCTTTCTGCTTGCTTAGGGATCATGAAAATTCTGTTTAGATAAACAATAATACATATACATTTTTTAAAAAGCTTGCAAGTTCAGATCTCTTGTTTTTTAAAATGATCAAGAGCTACAATACTTTTGAAATACTGATTTATGTTAACAAGCTTTTTTTGAGAATAGGAAGTGTTGTTTTTTTTTTAATAACCAGTAAACATTAATTAAAACCATGTTTTTAAAATTATCCAGGGACCTCACAGTTTGACTACTTTGTGACAATTTGGTCACTTCTGAAAGTCCCACATTCTGTGCCTTACTCCTCCTTCCTGTCACTTCCCTTCCAGAAAAACTCTACCCATTTGTCTTTAATCCAGTGGTTCTTAAAGAGACACCATATCAGAAGCCCCTGGAGAGTATAGCACCCTCTCCTGAGAGCTGTGCTTCTACCCCAGCATGGAGGCTCTCCGTTCTCAATCTCTAACCCTGTTGCTTTGTTTCATTTATTTGGTTGTTTAATGCACACTTCTGTCTGAACACTTTAGGTCAGTGGTTCTCAATCTTGGCTGCACATTACAATCACCTGGGAATCTTTTTAAAATCCTGATTTCTGGGCCTCATCCTCCGGAAATTCTGTTTCTTTGTTATGGGCTGGGGCCACAACATTAGTAACAAAGAAACAGAATTTCCGGAGGATGAGGCCCAGAAATCAGGATTTTAAAAAGATTCCCAGGTGATTCTAATGTGCAGCCAAGGGTGAGAACCACTGCTTTAGGTGCTACTGTGGCTCATTACCCAGCTGTGTCCTAAAAGAGAGAAGTGACTAAATCTGCAACCAACAAGTGGAAATTCTTAATTATGTTTTTACCTTAATAACATTATCAAGTGCATGGAGTGTTGAAAAATAACTTTTTGTGTGTAATGTCTGTCCAGTGAAGAAGGTCTTCAAGAAGATAGATATCATATATAGGACAGTGTAACACGTTTGGGGGCAGAAAATTAGATTATATATTATCTGTAGATATTTTATATTGTTAATTGAACTTCTGGTATGAATGCCCTTCGATCTTAAATTAAGGCAATCTCTAGTGTATGTTAAGTATGTAGCTCCTGTCTTCAATGCCACATTTCATAGCAAAATCAGATATGTTCATTTAAAATCTACATTTAAAAACTAAATTTAATTAGTTGAAAATTTAGCAAATATTCCTTAATATTAGAATTGCTAACAATTTTAGAATCAAGGACCTCTTTGATACCTTGATGAAAAGTATGCCTCTCTTCTGAGTAATTCAGATGTGCACATAATTGAAATTTTGAATAAAAGTGTAGGTTGTCCCAGAATCCTTAAAACTCTCCTTGAATTTTCAAAAAGTCTTAAAGAAACTCGCATAAGTGTATGCTACATAGGAAAAATAAGTATTTTCAGAAATATGAGGGTAAATTATAATTTACTGAAAACATGTCATTTAAGAACTATTCCACAGTTGTTGCCCTTCATACTGTCTTCATCACAAGACTAAAGTTCCAGTGGAAAGGAGCTTACCCCATAAACCTAACCCATGGAATCATAAAATATGATGCTCCTTTTAAGTCTTTGAATAAGGCAGCTGAGGATTGCCCTTGTAGTTGTTCTCCAGGATAATCCCTAGGTAACACAGGTATGTAGCAGCACCTGGGATCATTTTTAAGTTAAAATTGTTTACACTATTAATCTCTTTTTATATAACCAGTTATCACTGTGCATCTTTCTGTCTCTGGGCAGCCATTCTTTTGAGACAGGAATTAGTGAAAGGGTCTGCCAAGAGCACGTCTGACTGAGCAATGATGCCCATGGGCTCCTGGGAGAACACAGGTGGTGGTTTAGGTGCTTGTCTAATTCAACGTAAACTGAAGACTGGACAGCTTCCCCAGTCCCATTTTTTATGTTACTAAAAGTAATTGGAGCTGTATTGTTATACCTACAGCCATTAATATAACAGGAATATTTGAATGGGGCCTGTTTAATTAATATACTCAGTTGTGTAAATGAGTTTAAAATTCTTGATTGAAAAAGCAGAAATGAGCCTTTTATGGACAAATACAAGTCACTTTATGTTTAGGGCGGTTTGCCAGAGGAGTCAATGTAGAGGAAGTGCGTCTTCCTCACCATGCACAGTTACTCTTCTCACTCTCAATCCATTCATATTGAAAATGATGAGTAGTGACTGATGAGGCACAATCAGCCAAACTCTCTTGGTTGTTATGGTTCGATATTGAGGTGTTTCACTGTATTCTTTGGTTCTTACTCATTTCCAGGAATCACTCTGCATGATGAACCTGTCGATTGGGCAGCAGCAGGCGATCATGTTAGTCTTACGTTGGTTGGGATGGATATCATCAAAATTAAGTGAGTGAGAAAATGAATTTAATCAACCATTGTTTTAGATATAGGACCTCAAAACACATACATTTTGCATTTGACCAGTTCAAATGAGAGAATGAGTATTAATTCTGAATCTCATTTGGCCAAAACCAGGCACTGTGGAAGTATAAGGATAATAAGCAAACCTACTTAAAATTGAAATCAATACATGTCAGTTCATGTACTTCTTTGAGTGAAAGCTATTATGTATGAAAATGATATAAGGTATAAAGCCAGACTTTGACCCAGAAGGGAATATTTAGAAAAAGACCCTAATTTGCTTGCTTGTTTTACTTAGTAAATGATTGTAGAGGTAATCCTATTGGATGTATGTTTATTTCTCTCCTTTTTTCTTGTTACAGTGTTGGCTGCATATTTTGTGGTCCCAAAGAACCCATTAAAGCTTGCACTCGATTCAGAGCCCGAATCCTCATCTTCAATATTGAAATTCCTATCACTAAAGGATTTCCTGTAAGTTTCAAAATGTTCAGTTGTTACTGTTTTTACAAATTGAAAGTCACTTTATCCTAAGAAGCAATAATTCTTTTTACAAGTGATAGTGCTATGGTTATTTTCAGCTAACATCTTATTACTCTAATCCAGAAAAATATGAAATTAGAATTTGAAAGTCATTTTACTTTACTTTTTATTTTGATCCTTCAGCCTAAATATTTTCAAAGAGGCATTGAGTAGATATTTCATAATCAATAGGATACAAACTAATGGTAATAATATAACTTATCTAGGGAAATTGGTAGATCCTTTTTCACTATGTTCTAAAGGTTACCTGACTAATTGTAAATTGGGTTTTTCTGGGGGTTTTTTGTTTTAATATGCTTATTTATAGTTTTTCTGATTATAAAAGTGATACATTGTTACAGAAAACTATGAAAAACACAAGAAAATAAACTTAGTAAGATTATTCTATAATTGCATAATCCATAAATATACTTGTATTCGCTTTACATTTCGGTGTGTTTTTCTGTGTACGTGCTGTCTACCCTTTGGTATTTATGGGTATATTCTGGGGTGCCTGCCATAGGGTAAACTTAATTGTGCTGAAGCAACACCTTGAGACTCTGCATGCTGTGAGTTTGGTTTGCCGGTTATCATTGACCAGCTTCATTTGAAACATACACCTTTATGGGAAGAGGGTGATTTTATGATATAATGTTACTTATCCAGAAAAGATACTGCTACTTGTACATAGCATGAATTCCTTGTCGTATGTGTAATTTTTTTTCAGATATTCAGGGCCATACTCTGTTTATAGGTTGGTAACTTGTTTTTGCCACTTAACAAATGAGCATTTTTCCCATTAGACTTTTTTTCTTGATCAGCTTATGTAGTACAGATTCTGCATGATAATAAAAAAATGTTTCTCAGTGGAATTAAATGGCTTCCTTTTGAAAATATAAACAGTTCACCATTTGATGCATCTTTGCAATAAAAGTAAGACAGTAATAGTAATTGACCTTTAAACTTCATTTAAGTTAGTGATAGTACTTAAGGGGTTGAACATACATTTATTTAGCTAATTTAAATTCATTTTATACTTACACTATTTGAGTCATGTGCTTTGCTGATAATTCTTTGTAATTCTATGTAAATTTGATCATATAAAATGTTTATAAGATACTGTTTAAGTTTTTTATTTTTATCATTATAGTCCATTTCTCCCATGAGCTAAAAAAGGGAGTAGAAGCTTCTCTCCAAAAAAACAACAAAAAACCTGTTATAGTTGAAAATATTTAATTTTTAAATATTCAAAATGCATGTATTGATAGTCAAGGAACTACAACTTAATTGCTATGTACAAATGGCACTAATTCTTAGAAAGCAGTATGTCCAGTGGAGAAGTTGGAGAGGTTGGTTACTGCATGTTTTTACTCACGCAGCAATAATTTTTGCCAATGGAGAGGTACAGAGGTCAACAGGTCAATAGTTACTTTGAATAGTAATACTGTTTTCCTGTCTACTGTAGTTTCTTAAAAATAAGTATGAATTGAAAGTTTTTCAGTGCTGCTTAATGAGATTGCTCTCACCTATATTGATTCACGAATGCAGGATGAAACGTGTTTCAGAAAAGCAGTCACGTTTTGTCATTGTTCACTTCCTGTGGGAAGAAACCTTTCAAAATAGAATTTTTAACCAAGAAAAGGCTTCCTCAGTAATTAAAATTTTACTATTTAGGGAATTATTTATTATTGCTACATAAATACAAGGTGATGCAAAAGTAGGTTTACAGTTGTGCGTGAAATACAGAGTTTATTCTTATATTAACCATATTTAAGTGTTTAGTGGCATAAAGTACATTCACATTTTTATGTATTCATCATCACCATCCATTTCAAGACCCTTTTTATTATCCCAAACTGAAACTCCATACCCACTGAACATTAACTCCCCTTTCCTGCCCCCACCCCCTGGTAATCATTATTCCACTTTCTGTCTCTGAATTTGACTATTCTAGATGCCTCATATAAATAGAATCAAATACTATTTGCCCTTTTGCTCTTTGCTTATTTTACTTCACATGATGTTTTCACACTTCATCCATATTATAGCATGTATCAAAATTTCAGTCATTTTTAAGGCTGAAAAATATTCCATTTTATGTAAATGCCACATTTTGTTTATTTATTCATCTTTTGATGGTGCCCTTAACTCTTACCTCCTTCTTTGGGAAGTAACCCTTCAATTTTCCTTTAAGAAATTTCCTTTTCTCATTGGCTTATTGTGCTATTTAATAGATTATGTAGCTCATTATAGTTTATAAAACACTAGGCAATTTAATTCTTTCAACCCCACATGAAGTACAGAATCCTAAACCTTATATGAAACTCTTCAGGCTTCTGTTTTCTGAATATGCAAACTATTTTACCCAGGAAATTTCAGAATAGAAGTGTCAGTGTTTCTTCAGGAAAATAGCATAAAATGGTACTTACAAACCACTTAAACGTTTGATAGCTTGGCCACTTTCTGGGTATTGGATTTTTTCCACTAACCTAAGCTATAGACATAGTGTACACTCAGTCCTTACTATTTGAATGGAGGACAGCCTAATTCTGACTCCAGTTGACCCCAGCAAAAATTTGTCTCTGACACATGTCACCATAACCACATTAGGTTATTTACCCTTTTTGATATTAATTTTCTTATATAGAAAACATGAACAATAATAGCTAATATGTAAGGTCATCAATTAACTGAATGTTTACCATTTTAAAGTGGGTAGGCCAATGATGGTGAACCTTTTGAGCTCGGCGTGTCAGCATTTTGAAAAACCCTAACTTAACTCTGGTGCCGTGTCACATATAGAAATTTTTTGATATTTGCAACCATAGTAAAACAAAGACTTATATTTTTGATATTTATTTTATGTATTTAAATGCCATTTAACAAAGAAAAATCAACCAAAAAAATGCGTTCGCGTGTCACTTCTGACACGTGTGTCATAGGTTCGCCATCACTGGGCTAGGCACTACTTTAAAATAGCATCTGATTTTCCTCATTTCAGTGATAAGGATCCTGAAGCTGGGCTGTTGGGGATAGAGTTGTTAAAGGACTTGTCACAAATTGTACAGCTGGAAAGTGTGGAGTTAAGATTTGAACTCAGATCTGTCTGACTTCAAAGCCAGTCTAAACTCCCCTATAATATTTTATTCTCATTATCCAACAATGAATATATTAATTCCTGCTTAATGTCACATGATTCCCCTTCCCTAATTTTCATGATGAAACAGTTCACATATGTTGAACACCTTTTGTACCAGTCACTGTCTCTGATCCTATTTAATTCTCATCTCACCCTATAAGGAAGATTATGTAATTCACTAAAGTGTACACAGTGACTGGTGGAGATGTTTGGACTGCCTCCCATGACCTTTTCCCGCTAGTAAGTTGGGGAGCAAGCTAATTAGAATGGTGAGACTTAGAGGAGGCAACTGGAAATCCTAAAAACCCCAGGCAATAGTGCTGCATTTAATATAATTAAATGTGAGCAAGTAATAGGACAGAGATGCCGTGGTAAGCAGTTATTCAGTGTTACAATGTTTTGTTTTAGGTGCTGTTACACTACCAGACTGTCAGTGAGCCTGCTGTTATTAAACGATTGATTAGCGTCTTGAACAAAAGCACGGGTGAGGTTACCAAGAAGAAGCCTAAGTAAGTCTTTTAATGCATAAATAATAAACACAAGCAATTTAAGCAAATTTCTTATAGTTTAATTTTTTTGTGTAATATTTTTAGGGGTAGTAAGTGAACTCTCTTTTTACTTGTTCCAGAAATCATTTTTTATGGACTAGATTAAAACAGACACAAAAATAAATATTTAAGCTCCTCTATAGGTATGAATGCTAGATGTAATTTGTTCTGCATGGTGGTAATGGTGGGGTGTGATTGTAAATAAAATGGAAATACAAATTTATATGTATGTATCAAGCAATGTAAAAGTAAAGGCATTTTTTTAAAAAAACAGTCCTACATTTTAAAAGATGAACTTGAATTTTGCCTAGCCACTGGTTCCAAATTCCAGCTGAGTGTTCTTAACTTTCTTGTCTTCTCCTTACAGGGAGTCATTCCCTGTGCTAAGAACACCCAGGGAGAAAGCGAACTACACACACTGTAGCTCCTAGTTTTTCCACCTGGAAAGTATTTTCCTTCTGCTCTGTGTCCACCTGGAACCTTAGCTGAGCTCATCACGTTGGTCCGCTCTGCTTACTGTTAATATCTCGGCCTAGTTGTGGACCATTCCCCTTTGGCTGGGACAAGGCTAGCACTTTCAAAGGAAGTGCTTCCTGAGAAGCTTAAGTTTCTTAGCCTAAATCAACTACAGGCTAACCACAGTTTGGCTTGGCTGCTTCAGCCTTGGGGTTTTCCTCCCTTCTTCTCTATGGGGAATCCCACCCAAAATCCCCTTTTTTCTGTCCTTGAGTGTTCCTCCTCATCTGCACCTGTGTAAGAGGTCAAAGGTGGTTAGTGGGTTAATGGGTTGGCTGCAAGTGGAAGAGAGAATCTTCACACTGCTCTAAACCATGCCTGTTTCCCCGTTAGTTATAAAGGGCTTTTTATCTTTTAAAGATCCTTCTTTATCTTTAACCTCAGCCTTTAGCTTCTGGCATGAGTGTCTGCCGTAATGTGCTGAGAAATGTGCTAAGGACTAACATTTCTGGAGGACTGCTGTTTCATAGGCTCTGTCATGAATGCTTTCACATGTGTATATGCTCAGGAACCATATGAAGCAGGTACTATTATTTTCCCCATTTTTTAGATGAGGAAACTGAAGCTTAGAGAGGTTGTATCACATGTTCAAGGTCACAGAACTAGCAAATAGCAGAGCCAGGATTCTAACACAGTTGGTTGGTTCACATAAGTCACATCCTTTTTGACAGGAGCCAGGTTGTTTGACCCAGACCAGTGATTTGGAGAATTCTCAATCTTAAATTGGCTCATCAAATCTAATCCTGAATTCCCCGTCCTGCTATAAGTCCTAGCTCAGTGATAGTAGGTCTTAGTATATTCTCATGTTAGTTTTCCCTGTCATCTTATTTATAATTTAGTCCTTTCCTCCTATTTTGCACCAATGCCATTTGGCCTTTTCCTTTCTTTTCCACTAGACTCGATTGCTTTATATGGAATGGAATTGAACCTTCTAAAAACTAAGCGCAAATCATAAATGTATTGGATCTTCTCCTTCCTAAGAAATGAGACTTTGGCCTGAAATTGTCTAAAACCAATATTTGGAAATTTTGTAATACTTGTTTAGAAACCTGTTTAGCTTATTCTATCAGTCTGTCTCCGAACTAATTTTTCAGAAGATGAGTCTGTGATTGCTGTTCTCTTTCTAGAGCAGATCAAAATTAAAATAGGGAACAATGTCAAAATGTCCCCTGTTGGGTTCTGCTTCTTGTAGTAAATAGGGTGTTGTGTCCATGCATTTTTTGGATTTTTGTTGGTTTGCTTATCTCTGTGAACCTGTTTATAATCAGACCCATGCCCCATCCCCTTCATTTCCTACAAACATCATATTATGGAAAAATCTTATGTGATTATGTCCTGAACCTTTGTTAAAGAACCGATTTCTATGTTGGCACTAGGAGATGACCCTCTCTAAAAAGATAACTTCAACACATAATTTATTAATTAGAATTTTACTAGGGAAAACTTAGGGCATTGCATTCCTCTTTTAAAGTACAAGTGCCTCAGTTTCTTGATTAGATCATTGAAACTCTGTTTCATTGAGGGAATGACAGGGAAGGCTTTGGTAGAGGGGGCTTTGAGTATACTTTATGTTATAGCAGTGATGGCGAACCTTTTGAGCTCGGCGTGTCAGCATTTTGAAAAACCCTAACTTAACTCTGGTGCCGTGTCACATATAGAAATTTTTTGATATTTGCAACCATAGTAAAACAAAGACTTATATTTTTGATATTTATTTTATGTATTTAAATGCCATTTAACAAAGAAAAATCAACCAAAAAAATGAGTTCGCGTGTCACTTCTGACACGCGTGTCATAGGTTCGCCATCACTGT